TGGTGGCGGCTGCGATGATAATGATGATGATGACGACAACAAATAGATGAAAGTGCAAGTTAGTGCCAGATGTAATGGAGGAATGGGCAAAGCTGGTCCAGACACCTGATCCAGCCTCACAGCAATTGAAAACCACAAGAGTTCAAATTAATAGAAAATGTCTTGTTATTGGTTTCCCCTTCTTTTTAATCTGATACAGACAAGTCCTAATCGACCTACAATTAGAATTTATTGACCTGTAGACGGATTAAATGCTTTAAAGAAATTAAAGCTGTAATACTTCCCAACTCTTATGCCTCTTTTAACAAATGTACATTTCCAAAATTAATAATGCTTACTCAAACAGTATTTATGTTATCTGATTTAATATACATAAGTGAACACACATTTTCTACGATTAAATTAAATAACCTTGAGATGTAATGACTGACTAGCATCCAGGAGTAGTAGGTCCACTGAAAATTGCTGCTATAGGAGACCTATCAAACTCCGGTATATTGGTTAATACACATCTGTGCTGTCATTTCTTCTCATTAGTTATGAAATTTGCCATGATTTCATCAATACTTTGAATGTCTAATGATATATGTAATAAGTAGGTCGTTCTTAAGCATAATTACTTTTATCAATTAATCAGCTAATTATGTGGAGCCGGGATGATGTAATTAGTATAGTGATGGGATACAGGCAGAATGGCCAAGGAATTAGGATCAGATTCCCAGCAGAGATAACGATTTTCTCCGTTCTCCACATTGTGCAGTCTGGCTCTAATGCCCACCCAGCTTCCTATGCAATGGGTACCCAGTGATACTTTCCATGGCGATAAAGCGGCACGGCACGAAGCTGACCACCCACCTCCATTTACACCTAGTAGTACTGATGTCAAAAATGGTGAAGCTATACCTCAACCCACCATATGTGTTCACGACACACTGCTTTCTTAATTTTAGGCATAGAAAATACTTTACGTTTCACGTTTTTACTTTAAAATCAATTAATTATTAACCAATGAATATATGCTGTATGATATGGTGTTCTTAAAGCGTTTTAAACTTATATTCATTTTGTAATCTTGATTTTCTCTTGTGAAAATTATTAGGTGAAATGAGAACTTAAAATTTTTTAATGACAAATATGCAGGCTCTGTATAACTTACCAAAAATGGTGATACTCATCATCAGCCAAAATATTTGCCCACCGTTGGCATCAAATCTCTTATTTGTGTTTTATTTAATGATGCTATAGCAGTTCAGACTATTTGGCACAGTATCTTAGGATACTGGATTTTAAGTTCATACAACAGTAGTTTTGAAGAGTTCTATCTCCTGTGTTATAACATTGTGTAGTTTGTGTGTGCTTTGGAGGAACATGTCACCTCCATTTTCAGTGTCGAACAGTAAGCCAAGCAACAAGCCAGCATGAAGGTGACAGTAAGCAAAGCTCTGCTTGTTGCATCCTTCATGCTGGCTTGTTGCTTAACTTATGTTTCAACCCCAAAGATGGAGGTGACATGTCCCTCTGAAACATATTTGACTCCCACTGGACTTTACAGTGTTATATCTCTGAAGATATAGCTCTTTGAATCTTAGGATGCTTAATGAATGATGAACTGGAAGGGATGTGGAAGAGAAGCAGTCATGGTCTGATTTAAGTACTATCTAGCATTTGTCTAGAAGAACTGAGGAAAGTCATGAAAAATCTTAGTCAAGATAGTCAGTGTCTCAGCTGAGTTCAAATTGGGTACCCCTCAAATATACATCAGAAACATCGTTGTTTCAGTGAAAATATTCAGTTCCATACATCACACAATGAAAATATATAGAGACATACTATAGATCCTTGGCACTAGATAGAAACAAATATTTAGTTGTGCTCCCCTGCAAAATATTCGACACCCAGAGCAAGTTTGGATAAGATGGTGATTGATATATAGGGCTCGATTTCTAATAGAGGCAGTAGAATTTTCTCCTTCTCACTCTATTGAGTTTGACCCTGGGACTCATCCAGCCTCCTGCACAATAGGCACTGATGATTCTTTTCTCTTGGCTAAAGCAGCCAGAGCACGAAGTTAATCACTCATCTCCATATAGGTTCAAGATTAAGAGTGTATTGATGCTTACCTCCACTCTTGCATGCATGAACTTTTCATGTGGACAGTTTTTTAATAATAACAGAAATGATGATGATGATGATGATGATGACTATGACAATAACAGGAAAGAGCGTTAAAAAGCCAAAATAACAACAACAAACAATGAGAGAAGTGTTACACATGGTGTTAAAGAAGGAATACAGAACTACGTATAATGAAATGTGTAAAGGGACTTACAGCATTATCAATATAAGGGTTCAGGGGTATTAGAAAAACATTTTTCATCCATGAAGTGAACATTTCAATTTAATTCCTACGATTAGATAAAATTATTGCTTTCAACTTAAAAATCTGAAAATAAAATACAGTGAGATCTGCTATCTACATTTATCTAATACCAGGCTGTATTGTCCTAATTATATGGAGATCTTAAATATAAAGTTACTCCCAACTTCAGAAACCATAGGTAAGAATAACTTTAGTATCACAGAATTTTAACTTAAGGTTTCTATGAATTTTATAGCCTAGTTGTGAATAGAAAGCATCACTTTGTTATTGAACCCATAGAGTGATCATATGCATGAGGACAGATTTCTCACAGTGTTCCTGAGAACATTATACTTGCAACAGCAACCCCACTTCAGCCATTTAAAATTAAACCTTACAGCGCCTTCTTCTTTCTTAGCTAGTAGGAAGGTTCGAATATGGAAGTTGGCCAATTCTTCTTCGTGGACAACAGATATTGAGATGCCCCCATGTGTTTCATCCTTTTCTTTTGATGCTGGCCAGTACTGCATGCACATTACCTGCAAAAGTTTCATAAATCAACAAGCTAAGTCATTTTGCAGAGTTTGTATCATTATCTAACTCTATGGAGCAGAGTCCTTCATGATAAGCTGATAGTCAAGCAGATAGTTGAACTTTTCCCTTTTTATGAAGTCTTAAAATTCTTTACCTTGTTCACAAGACTCTGCCACTGAACCTTATATTGAACTAGTCAAATATAGTCCACATTTTCAAACCCTGTTTCTTTAATATTAATTTTAATGTTTTTTTCCTGTCTACATCTAAACCTCACGAGTGTTCTTGTTGTTTCACATTTTCCAATTAGAGTTTCATACCCTTTTCTTACTTATCCCAAACATGTTGCATGACCTGCCAATTTACTCATTAATTTAATAAGAATTTGGAAGTAGGTGGTTGAGGCTCATTTCTAGGTTCTATCCTGGAACATCCCTGGTGAATATATATCAAAAGTTCAAAGAACCTGGATGACAGACATGGCTTCAATGGCTGATTTTAAGTTTCAGAACCTTTCTATGATAGTCCAATAAGAATAGATATCCACTAATCAACTAATGGATGGTGTGCTCATTCTTTGAAAGCAAGAAACACAATTTTTAAGGAAACAGATTCAATACTTACTCTAATAAAATCAAAAGTCTTGGTCAGCATAACAATACAACTTGCTTTCACTTGCCAAACCATCCTCCAGAAGTCTGTCACGGTGTTTTCTGTGGGTCCTTGTGTCACTATATATGCGTTTGGTTTTAATAAACTCTGCAACAGATTATCAGCATAATGGAAGGTGATTCCTATAAGGGTTTTAATATATATTGGGTCATAATATCACAGTTCACAGTCTATTTCTCTGGTGACCTCTATAAATAGAAACCAAGATTCTGAAAAACTGACAGCAGTTTTTATGGGATAAAAGCTTCTAGGGCTACCATCTGCATCATTTCAAAATAATAGGACCTGTTACAAACTGATGTGGTGGGTAGCACAACAAGGTTTTATCACATTCAGTAGTAATGTTATGTAAATCACTTATAACTTCCCACATCAATACGACAGTTATACATATTAAGACATTAGAAGGCAACATACAATATATACACTATGTATGTGTCTCTTTGATAGTATTCCAGAATTCTCAGCTTAACATATGTTAATACTTATGGAAAATTTTGAAATAACTCCAGTTTTTCAACCACATATATTGGATACACTATGCATAACAAAATTAAATTAGTTTGACAATTTTTCAAGTTCTTCTACTACCAAGCGTCATGAAAATATGTGCAGTCACAGTGGAGAGGAAACATATGGACAGACAGACAGACATGATCTCCAAATTTTACATTCAGTTTTTGCACTTTATGCAGAGAACATACAAGAGACAATTACATAGTTTGGATTTACATACATGATGCAAAGTTTACTTACATCCACATATGATGCGTTAATATAATCAGAATCTGGAGTGTTGTCTAATGGCTCCAATACAACTCTATTGTAATCATCTGCATGTGAAACAAAGATATAATTAAATGTTTCAGACAGCATGAAACAATCTTACGAGTACCTAGCAGCATGCATCAGATTCAGCAGTACTGCAAAACTTGAATATACCCATATTCTGTGTAATTAATGTCTTTCAGTCCTTGTTCATCTGGAATTAAATATACTCTATATTAAATAAATCACTGAAATATATTTGTTGGGAAATATTTGTGAAAATTGGTCGTCTTTGTTAAAGATAATAAGAAAAATGTAAATAACTACTTGTGCTTAAGTGCAAAGAATTCAGCTGAGTGTAATGGGAGTGGTTTCAGTGAATGCTTCACCTCATAAGTGGGCGGAGATGGGTGGTCAGCTTCATTCTCTGGCTGTTTACTTGTAGGGAAGCATCTGTGAGTACATACTTGATAAAAGGCTTCAGATCCAGTCTGGATAAGATAATGAAGATAAAAATCCTATTTATGTGGGAAAATGTATCCAGTCATCCAACCTGTAGCCAGTCACTTTACTGGCTAGCAATTATATCTCGTTTACATCACAAATTTACTATCTGTGGGATTATGTGATGTAATAGCTTACAGAAAATGCTATTTCAAAGCCTGATAACAATCCTAGAAGTAGCCAATCTGAAGGTTGGAGGAATTGATACTGTCTTTATACTATGCTGTTTGAAAATATGATGAGACTGCTTAAAGTGTTAACCCAATTATGTCGGCAGTAAATTTTATTCTGCCTCATTCTAAATTAGGAGCTTCTTTTGCAGCACTTAGAGCAAAAAATCCTTAGTGTGTTTATAAAAATACATAACAAATTAAATTAATGGTAAAGACATTTGTATTTATGTAAATGGCTAAGTAACTAACCTAAAGAGGCAAAGTAGATCTTGTGAAGGTTGTAGTCATACAGATGATCAAGGTACTGCATACTCATAATTGAATCTGTTGGTTCATTACCAATTACTGTGTTCACAAGAGTAAACCATAGGATCCTCTCCTGAGCCAATTTAATCCCATAACAACCACACACTGACTGACCGAATGGCTGGCTGACTGGCTGACTACAGGGAGTAGTACCCTTCTTGAAAAACTAATAGTATCTCAGCTACTCAAGAATTACCCATCATTTATGAAACCTGGAGACTCAGTGTTGTGCTCACAGCCTGCCACTGGTCCTTATTCTGAGTCAAATGAATCTGATCTCCACAACTGCCTACTATCTATTTTAACATTATTTTCCCCTATACTGATAGGTCTTTAAACAGGTCGCTTCCCTTCAGGTTTTATAACCAAATTCTAGTATGACTTTATCATCTCTTCCATGCTTGCTATATTCCTCGACTGTCTTTAATACAGGTTATGAATATACTTATCATACTGTTTCTTCCAAGTCTTCTGTTACTTCCTTCCTCTTAGATCTGAATATTTTCATTAGCACTTTGTTCTCAAACACTTTAATCTCTGTTCCTTTTCTAATGCGACAGACCAAGTTTTATACCCATACAGAATGACAGGTGAAATTATATTTTTTACTAATGTATCCATCAATAACACAACTTGAAAAAGACATTAGAAACATGTTGTTCACTAAAAATGCATTTTAGGATGATGCCTCAAGTACTTACATGGAATGCACTTCTGGTTCTGGTTCTTCTCTTTATTAGCTGCTTTGGTGGCATGGCGACAAGAATGTGTTTCTACTTTACAAGCCGTCTGCAAAAGAAAAAATATGAAAAACTCAATATTAACTGTAGAAAGATGGCAGGTAGGTAGCTTATTATTTGGATGGGCAATTCTTGGTTCAGGTCAAATCTGTTCAAATTCATTTTCATGCTCTAAAATTAATTAAATTTTCCTTTTATGAAAACTGCCAAAATAATAGAAGAAAATTATGTCAAGAACACAAGTAACTGGAGTGCACTCACGTATATTTTGGGCAATCTTATCTGTGATCTATTTAAGGACAATATTAGTAGGTCAGGCTACATAGGGTGTACTTGAAAGGTGTACACAGATTTCAAGCACAAGTTCCACACACCAAAGGTACAGTTGCCCCTATGCTTAACTAATCAAGCACTACACCATGAAGACGTTGGTGAGGGGACGTATAGATCCACATTTTTTTCACCTCAGCACTAGTTGAAGGTGAGTGGTCAGCTTCACGCCCCCGGCCGCTTTATCGCTGGGAAAGAGCCCCTGGTACCCATTGTATAGGAGGTTGGGTGGACCCAGAGCTCTTTCTGAATGACATGGAAGAGTGAAAATTCTTTACCCTGCCTGGACTCAAACTCTGACTTCTTGGTCATCTAGCCCATAGCCAGTTGCTATACTGACTGTGCTATCCTGGCTCCACATACCAAAACAAGAAAAAAATGTCCATGTCAGCATGTGTCCAGAAACATTTAATTTGAGAATTATAGCTGAAAGATTACATTTATAATAACTGCTCAAAACATCCTCAATGACATTGAATGCATGACTTGACAGCTCTCATCATGGAGTGCCACATCCATTTAAAGATGCCGGGATAGTTGCGGATAATCTGACAGGCTTCCACAGTGTGATAGTGAAGTGCCTCTTTATTGTCAACAGGAACTGCATACCCAAGAGTTTTTAGGTAAAAATCCAGAGGATTCAAATCTGGCACGTGTGGAGGCCTTGCAATGGGACCTGTATCTATCCATTGATCAGAATAGGTGCTATTGAGAACATCTCTCACAGCACAGGTAAAATATTTTGAAGAATCATCATGCATGTACTACTTTTGTGCTCTGACTGCCAGCCATACATCTTCCAGTAGCTTTGGCACATTATGTAAAAGGAAATTGCAGTAATGGTTGCCTCTAAGCTGATGTGGTAAAACATGTGGGCCTGCCAAAAATCACCAATAATCCTTGCCCAAATATTAATGCTGAAATGCTGGTGGTGTTTAGAATGGAATACACTGTGAGGATTCTCCTCTGCCCACTGGTGATGGTTGTGTATATTCATGATGCTGTATTTACTGAAACGTGCCTCCTCTGTAAAGAGCACTGATGAAACAAAGAAACGCTCAGCACTTCCTTGATAGAAACATCAACCAAACTTCCTTCATGCTGGAAAATCTGCTATAACTGAAAAATTAAATGTTTCTGGACACATGATTTTTTTCGTGTTTCGGTATGTAAAATTTATTCCAAAAATTTGTCCCCATCTTTTAGTTAAACTCTGTATAGGGTTGAACGAAAATACGATTACTGAATAATGAATTAGAATATATGTGGGGGGGGGAGTGGTCATGGACTAACCTGAAGAGACTGAGGAAAATCACAAAACACCTCATTGTTGTCACTTTACAAGCCAGGAATTGAGCTTTGGACCTCCAAAAGCTGAAGCAGGGATACTAACCATTTGAAAATTACATTTGACTGCTGGGCCAACAGTGAATGGCTATTGTATAACAAAGATTATTTTAAAGATTACTGTAACTTAACTGCTTTTGAATGAACAAAGCATTATTATCTCAAGATAATAACTTGTTCATATAAATATATAAGTATTATCTGTTGTATTGTTTTACCTTCTTATACGCACTTTTTAATAATGTAAAAATATGTACTGTCAAAAAATTAAAGGAACGTTATTTTTCCCACTTGCCAAATTAAAAGAAAGTTCTTATTCCTTTCATTAACTGGCATCATAAGGAGAATTTATGTAAAATAATGCGAGAAACATGAAGTCATATAAATATGAAAATGTCTGCTGTTAATAATAAGGGGATTAAATTCAGGAAGTTTGTGGCCATGACCTGTTTGTTTAAAGATCTTGCTTTTGAAAGTAGTGAGGTTACAAATACACGTATTTAACTGAGATAAGATATTGTAGTCTGTGTATATGAAAAATAACAATAATTTTCTGGCTATATTGTGTGAACGGTAAATCCATGTTGTGTACAAAAAGAAATTTTTTATGTCTCTCTTGAACTCAGGTCCACGGTGTGTCAGTATTCCTGAACTATGGAACTGACTTCATTTGAGAACTATAGTCTGTCCATTATGCATTAAGAACAGGATTGTTCAACTTCAAAAGGTTCATTTGCAAAAGGATAGGCAGTCATAGCCATTTTTTTCTCAAATTAACTTCTTTGTGGTTTTAATTATGTGCTTTATGTATGGAAGTAAAGTTATGGAGGTCTAATGACAGAGGATTAATATTAATTAGGCTTCCTGTCATGAGAGAAAATATGAAAGAAACTAAGAAATACTGGTAGAATAACAAATGTCACCAACAGATATACACATAAACCAAAGTGGAAAATAGATGTTCAAAGAATGAGTACAAATAGGATCTCTAAAAGAGGATAAAATGTCAACCAACAAGAAGAGGGAGTTCAGGAAGATTTCTAAAAATGTAATGGTTTTATTCCTTTCTACTCTTGTCACATGTTATATTCATATGTCATAGGTCATATCTGACTTCATAGGTAGTATCATATTTTTCTTTTGTTAAAGCTGATATGCAAATCATGCATATTACTGGATAAAGTGCAGAGGCTCTGTGATTAACTTTCTGATTTATGTCACCATAATAACTACATTTTTAGTGTACTTTCCTGAAGTGTGCTTATGTGATCTCAAGCCTTCTGAATGCCTCAAACAGTCTCTATGAAACTTGGTATGTTTATCATGACAACTGAACCCATCTACAAGGCATACTTCATAAATTCTCCCCATCAGTCTGTGTGTCTGAATGTGTATCCCTCTTGTCATTGCTAAGACACCTGTTGGTTAAGTTTATCATTTCTTTCGATGCTAGGCAATGGCTCGGTAAACACATTCCTTCAGCAAAGAATATATGGAACAATAGAAGAATTGTTGGAAGCGTCATGCTGCTCATGACTTATCAACGGAGAGTCTCTGAATCTGTCTGTCCTCCTATCGTTTCTAGGTAACAACTCGTTAAAGAAGTCCCCGCTGCAATGAAGAATTGTTGGTTGCATCGTTTTCTATGTGGTCCATGTTGTATCAAAGGAAAGTAGATGATTAGCTCTCCCCAGGACTTCTTGTTATTTCATTATCTTCCCATAATCCCAATAGACTTTGTGGATAATTTTACGTATATATGTTAATGGTGTAATTCTTGAAGAAAATACTGAAATAGATTCCCACAAAGGTTTTGCATGTATATATCTCTGTATATATAAACAAGAAGTTGTGGGAAGAACTAAGTGGGACACACTGTTCCAGGGGGATGTAAGTGTGGGGACCTGGCCCTCCAGGTTGGGTGAGCCTCGAATCTGAGAGAATGAAATATGGTCATGAGTCCCACGGGACTCGGATCCATGAATGACTGCACTGGCGAGGACCAGCAGCAATTGTAAAAGATAGACCCATCCTGTTGTCAGAAAGGATGTTACATAAGGGCTATAACTGAAAGTGTTCAGTTGAAAAAAATATACTGGTCGTGGGTCTTAATGGGCTTGACAAGAAGATGAGCTGATAGGCAGTAAACTACCAGTCATAAAGTAACTATGACCCTGACTTTGACATACTTTCCTTTCACTAACTATTGGTTATTAGATATGACAAAGATGGCATATAAAACACTGCATTCAACAACAGTTCTTATATTATTATGTGTGTATTTGTTGTCATGGGAATGTGTTCACCGAGCCATTGCCTAGTAATGCTATCTCTTCTGGCCCCACGGATTCGGCTTTCAGGCACCATGTCATATTGCATTTGAAAGTTGTTAGGGTAGGTCACACAAACAAGTAGACAAAAAGATGATCTCATAAGCCTCGTTTCATTTATTTTTAAAATAAGGAAAGTGGGCTAATAAGGTTTTGTAACTGTGAGAGGAGGACCCGAAACTGTGTAATTTCATGTTACCAGAGCAACAAGCTGTCATGCATAGCATGAATGTAAGTTATTTATCACTCAATGATGAACTAACAGTCTTTTTTTTTCCTAATGACAAATAGCTTTCAGTGGAATCAGGTAGTCTATAAGAAACAGAATTCCTGTATTAAGACTTTCAGTTTAATGTTGATTTCAATAGGCCTTAATTGGATTAGGAAATAAATTGGACGATGTAAGATACTACTTGAAAATCTAGTGGGAAACTTATTTTCACAGGAAGTGTATGTAGAATGACACCTACACTTATTTTAAATTGTCTGTCAAGACTATTATGATGGAGCCAGGATAGTGACTGGCCACGGGCTGCAGTCCTGGTAGGGTAAGGTTTTACTCCTCTCCATGTCGTGTATACTGGCTCTGGGACCCACCCCACCTCCTATCCAATGGGTACCGGGGGGGTCTTTCCCCGAGGATAAAGTGACCAGCGCCTGAAGCTGACCACTCACCTCCATGTAGTGCCTAGGTAAAGAATACGTGCATCTACAGATTCACTGTCCCACACGTCTTCATGGCGTAGTGCTTAATTAGTTAAGCACAGGTATAAATTTACCTTTTTCAGGACTGTTAAGAAATCCTTTGACTGTTATGATCGACATCATTATTTTCTGAGCTTCATTAATGTAATGCGTGGTATCGATTACAGATGAATTCTTTCATAACTGTTCCTTAGTTAATGCTGCCGTTACTTTAAGTAATTTTCATATAACAGCATAATGCATAAATCATATACCCAATTATTATATCGAACCTTGAAACTTACAATTTATTCTAAATACGTGTAATTTCTTACTAAGTTGATTTGTTTCTTAGTTA